ACACACACACACACACACACAGGGAGAAGACGAAGGACCAAATGACGGAAGAGTATCAACATGTAAAGGGGAAAAAACAAAACAGGCACGCACGCTCCCTTTTATTCGTACAGCAGGAGACATGATACAATCAAACAACAAAGAGATGTGTGTCACCTTAAACATAAATATAAATATATAGATGTTGTCGCGTCGACTACACTACGGTAGCGGAACAACAACGGAGGGGCGTGTGCCGCGTGAATCACTGCACATCCACTTCGTCCTCCACAGCATACAACAAACCAAAAAAAGACGAATAGGGAAACACAACGACGTGAAAGATTGGGAACTCCTGCGCTTCGCCACGCCGCTTTTATTCCTTTTCCACCATGCGCGACCGACCGCGAGCGCAGGAGCAGCAGACATAATGGCAGCCCCATGTGAGCGGGAAAGAAAAATGTGAAACCTAGCCGCAGCCGCGACTTCGCACAAGCGAGGCCAACGGAAAAACAAACAAAAAACACCTTTCAAAGCCCCTTTAAGAAGAAAAAAAAAACAGAAGCAAAGTGGAGTTTTACTCCTCACGTGAAGAACAGAAACGTCTGTTGTTCCTTCTTCACTTCCTTAGATGGATGTGTGTGTGCATGTTCTTCTGCTCGCCTACCCCACCCCACCCCCTCTCATCGCTTCTCGCTCGCTCCGCAGCGCACCACCGGAGTGGCACGTCCTCCCTCGCACCTATCTGCGGGAAGGAGATACACAAAAACAGAATAAAAGGGAAAACGGCGAATCGACGTCGCAACGGAAAACACGGATCTTCGACTCGAGAAGCGGTGACCGCACAAAAGAGAAAAGGAAAAAAGAGAAAACAAGTCCGCAAAGAAGCAACGGTGGAATGAACTCATTCTGTTGCTGCCGCCGCTGCTGCTGTTGACAACAGAAAACGGTGGTCACTCCATCAACTAACAAAGAAAAATGAGGAAGAAGAAGGGGTTCTCACCTCAGCAAAAGTACGAGGAGTAGGGGAAGTTCGCCGACGGCTGGCCGCCGTACTCCATCTCGTCCTCGTAACACTCGTACTGGTCAAACGACGGCTTGTTCGCGTTGCCTGACACGACCATCACCGCACCCCGGTTGCCGTTGATGCCGCAGTAGTTCGGCGCCGAGAAGACCGTCACCACGCGGTCGTTGTGCGTCCAGAAGTACCCGTCCATCGCCAGCTGGTGCGCACGGCAGATGAAGTTCAGCCGGTTCTTTGAGCAGAAGTTGGCCGACGTGGCGGGACCGAAGTTCCAGCCGCAGCCCCGCGCACTCGGCGCAAAGCAGCCGATGCCGATCGCGGGATCCGACCAGAGAAGGCCGTCCACGATGTCGTGCTCCTCCTTCGATAGCGCGCCGGTGTTGTAGGCGTGTCGGTCAATGGCTGCAATTTGATCCGTCGTCTTCAGCGCAGGGGAGAGGCCGCCGTGCGTCACGAAGAAGCGCATGTGCGGTGTCTGCACGATGGCCGCCAGAGGCAGATCGAGGAAGACTTTGTTCACCGCGCTCCACACCGCACCCCCGGCCACGGCGCCCAACGAGGACGTCGCCTCCGTCAGGAACCCGTACACGCGCGACGTCTTCTCCTCCTCGTGGTTGCCGCGGGTCAAGTATACCAGCGAGGGGTACTCCACCTTCAGCGCCAACAACAGAAGCACCACCTCCAAACTGTGCGGGCCGCGATCCACGTAGTCGCCCATGAAGAGGAAGTGGCGGTCCAGGCCGCCGGGGTTGCACCGACGGCGGTCGTACTGCTGGCACAGCACACTCGTGTAGAGATCCTGGAACTGGCCGTGGATGTCGCCAACGACGATGAGGGTGTCGTCGGCGGGCACGTCGAGCTCCAGCAGGCCCGGCTCGGCGGACAGCACCTGCGTGGCGGCCGTGCACAGCTTCGCGATGTTGTCCTCCGTAAAGAACGTCGGCGGCGGCGGCGTCTCTGCGCCGTTCTCTGTCACGTTCGACGGCAGCGCTATTTCCCCCGCCTCGCCGCACCGCAGCAGCCACTCAATCATCGACGCGAACTCCCCCAGCCGCGGCTTCGCCTTGAAGAAGGTCGACTTCCCCTTCACCTCCACCGCCTCGGAGAGCAGCAGCTTCTTCTCCGCGTCCGCGTCCGCGTCGTCGCTGGAGGCTACGCTGTCAGAGCTGTCCGACATCCCCGGCAGCGGGGCGGCGCGGCCACTACGGCAGGCGATGTCGTACGTGCAATTCGGCAGCGCCGCCGTCGGCGAGGCCGCCAGGGACTTCAGCAGCGTCGGTGGCTTCGTCACCGGCGCAAGTAGGTCACCGCGACTGCCTTTGATACTCATTGTCGTGCCCGTCGCTGCTGCCCCGGCGGCGGCGCTGTGGGTATTGAGTGCTGCCGCGCTGCCGCTGCAGTTGAGGTTATCCTTCAACTTCAGACGGCTGTTTGCCCCTGTCGTCAGCACGGACGGCGAGTTCTGAGGGGAGATGGCGGCATCCGCAAAGCCATCCGGCGTGTTCAGCAATCCATTCGACTTCGACGGGGACGCGGTCGATGGCGGCAGCACGACCGTCTTGTTTGAGTTGTACAGGAACGAGGGTGAGCCGCTCTCCTCGGAGGGTCGCACGGCCGTGCTCGGCGGACGGAACTCGTTGTTTGCTTTGGTCCCGGCAGACCTCGTCTCGCAGGTGATGATGTGGTCTAACGCGGGGTTCTTCCTGATGCACGCGGGACGGAGCATCGGCACCTCGCATGCCTGCGCGTCCGCGGCGCCATCCTTGACCTGTTGAGAGAAGACAAGTTGAAGCGCCTTCTCCATGAGCGCGAACGCAGAAAATATTTAAGAAAGAAAAACAGCAAATCTCGTGGTACCGTTTTCAGCGCACACTGAGACGGCGTAGGAGATGAACACGAAAACAGTAAGAAAAATAAAAATAACAAGCGGACGGTAGGAGACGAATCGAGACAATTGAAAGGAGGCAAATACTTACGTGTGTGTTTGTTTGTGGGACGAAGAAAGGAGACAGAAAACTATTTTCCTTTCAAATAAAGAGCAACAACAGAATATCTTGGAATAGCCGGAGTTGGCGTGGAAGAGTTTGTGCTACACCGAAGCGAGTTGCTGCAGTGAAGCGTCGTGCACGTATTCAAGATAGTGAGAGTAAAAGGCAAGAAACAGAAGAGTAAACCAACACACACACACACTCACAGAAAGAAGACGAATATACGAGATGTGGAGCAGGCGCCACAGAAAGAGACGCTGGACCAGGAAAAACAAAAAGGAAAGGGTACGAGAAAACCAGTGACGCAGTGCGGTAAAGAGCGGGAGAGAGCGAGAGCTGGAGCGTTTTGCAGGCAAATGCGCCACGGAGATGAAAGCAGTTCGTCAAAAGAAGCACTCGTGTGGGTGGGTGTGTGTATAGCAGAGAGAACAAAAAAAAAGAAAGGAAAGAAGTGGAAGAAGTGGCAAGAGAACAACGCAAATAAGTAGAAGCAGCACAAACAAACAGGAAAGGAGAAAGGAAACCACAGAAAAGGACGCCGTAGAACACGAGAAGAAAAAGGAAAAAGGAAGAAAGGGAATGTCGTCAATCACATATACAAGGAAGAAGCGAGTAGAACACGAACGGGAAAGAGGAGAAAGCAAACCAACAAACAAAAAGAGAGAGACCACCTTGTTGTGCCTCTGTGAAGGTGTATTATCCGATGAAGTCCAGCGTGGCACAGTTCGTAAAGCAGAAATATTAACGTCCAGAGGGGTAGTATGAACGTAAAGAGGGATCGATTCGATGCCGCAGAAGACCGTGTCAGGAGACCTACGTTGAAGAGCGGATGAGGACTTCTGCTCGTTTGCTCAAGCAGACGAGGGAGATAGTAACAACGGAAAAAGAGGGAAATTCTTTATTGAATAACCTCCGCGCAAAAACGGAATAGATGTGTGTATTGATGAGACTCTGCAGAGCAATATCCTTTTGATGGGTCCGAAGGGGAAAAAGCGGAATGAATAGCCAAAGAAAAAAAAAAGAGAAATAGAAAACACGGAAGGCTTCGTTCAACGGGGAATACGGTTTCGAATCGATCAAGCCAAGTAATAGTGATGATACTAGATGTTTTGTTGTTGTTGTTGTGATTGTCGTGGATCAGCTCACCGACTGCATCGCAGTGCTGCCCCGCTTTCTTCGATACGTTCTTTTCTTCTGTTACGTGTAAATATTTTTGGTGTAGAAAACGTTCAATTGATTTCTTTTCCCTCCTTCTTTCCTCTTCCGTGTCGCGCGCTACGTGCTTAGTTCCTCAGCCAGTGGCGAAGAACAAACGAGAGCAGCTACAACGCGTGTAGGCGAAAGCGCGGTGACACCGAAGTAGAAGAAGAAGAAGGGGTGCAAAAGAAAGAAAGAAAAAAACCGATTGCTGAATATTGAAAAGCAGAATGAGAGTCTAGAACCACGAAGTGCCGCGTGTGCGCCTGTATGTATGTGGGTGGGTGGGTAAGGATAGACAAGAGAGGTTTGCTTATCGCACACGTTAACTATCGTTGCCGATAGCTTCTTCGTTGTTGTTTTTTGTCCTTTTTTTTTTGAGAAGGGATGTCAGCCGAGGCGAAAGAAAGAAGGAAAAAATATATACAAAACAGGTAAACAAAAATACACGTAATAACCAAAAAGAGAAGAGAAGAGAAGAATAAAAGAGCAAGAAGAGCACACAAGTTGAAGCAGATCAGCAGAAGAAATACGCGAAAAGAGTGACGCAGTGACAGAGAGAGAAATAACGAAAAAAGAAGACGAAAAACGGGCTCAAAATGTGTGAACCACTTACAAAGAGACAAATAATAATAATAAAATCACTGAGGTCTTCCGTGCAAGTGGGAACACAACCAACGCGAGAAGAGAGAGAAAGAGAGAAAGAGAGAAAGAGAAAACACAGATGCCACCTTCTTGTCGTCGTCTTCGACCAAGTCCGGAGGCAACAGAGAAACAGAAGGGTACAGGTTGAAATTAAGTGGATAATAAACTTTTTTTGTTGTTAAAGACCAAAACGTTCCCAGCCGCGAATAAAACAAAAGCGCGAGCTTAACGGCAAGCTACGTTCACGTAGAAACCGTACCCGGAATAGTTTCTTGCTCTTCTCGGGAATCCAGCAAATCAAGTGTGTTTCGCTTATGCACTCGCGTACTGTCAAATTTCGCTGGCTTTCCGCCTAAATGAAGTTACCTGAACGGAGGAGAGCAACCTTTCCTCCCGCTTCGATGATGTGTCGCCGGCAGCACGAACTCTACCGTGAGGTGGATCCGTACAGAGCGGCAGCAGTCCACGCGAGGTGCGTCCGACCTCGTCGTATCGTTCCTTGTAAGGAAGAAAAATACAAAACGAAAGAAGAGGAAAAGAAGAAGAGAAAAGAGACAAGTCGAGCCGAACCGAAGAGGCGATTGGGAAGAGAAAAAGAAAGAAAAATAAAGTTGAGAAAAAAGGGAATTAAGACAACAGTAAAAATTTCACTTGAAATATTCTTTTTTCCTGTGCCGGTGTGTCTCTGCCGCCTCTTCGATGTCTGATCGTACGTGTTTGTCGCGTGAACGAACCACAAGGCGAGCAAAAGGCCCACAAAGCTTTGCAGTAGATACCTGAAAAGTACACACTTGAAAGAAAGAAAGAAGAAAAAAAGAAAGAATCGCAGAAGAATGAAACCAAACAAAAAAATGAAATCAGTCAAGAAGAGAAAAAGTGTCTTTTTTAAAAGGAATGAAGAACGTACATATGCAAACAAGTGTCTTTCATAGCGCTTTTGGCTGCAGCACAGAGTATTTCATGTATATACAAATAGATGTGCTCGTTTGGCACTTATATATATTTATTTATGTACTTTCTCAAACCAACTCCTTTTTTGATTTTTTTTAAAGCTCTGTGATGCGGGTTTACGTCTAAGATTGTTTTGGTTCTTTTTGGCTAGGTGTTCGCTTTCCCAAATTAAAAATAGTTTTCCGCGGGAAAAAGAGAAGCGAAGCAAGCTGCTTATATATATGCACAGAGGCGACGCCAGACACACGCCGACAACAACGAACTAGCAGCTAGACAGCCTTGCACACGTGTGTGCGCACCTGCGGGGAGGTATGTGTGTGAAGGTGTGGGGGAGTCTATGGATGAGCACCTTTACTCTGCACGGAAGCAAAAGAGGAGAGAACGCACTCAGAAAAGAAACGGAGATCACACACAACGGAAAAAGGCGGGGAAAAGGAAAGCAGAAGAAACTTCCTGTTTGGTGTTTCCGTTTCACGCAGTAACAAACGGAATCACGTGGAGCCTCGAAACGGGAAGAACCGAAAGAGAAACAAACAAACAAACAAAAATAAAACGATTGAGCGCGGTGTTTTTTTGTGTTGTTGTGACAGCAAAAAAAAAAGGGTAGGGCCGCGAACGGAAGAGGAAAGTCGAGAGCGAAAGATGTCGCGTCGTCAAGCCAGAGATTCAGTAAGAGAGAGAGAGGTGCACAAGTGTTGCTATAAAAGGGAACTACAATTTATATACGAACTTGTGGAGATAAGCACAGAAAATAATTAAAAACCGCGAGAAGGAGAAAGGATTTTTTATGCCTCTTCCTCTTCCTCTTCCTCTTCCTCTCTCTCTGTGTGTGTGTTCACTGGACTTGCTATTGCTTATTTGTTTGTTCTCTCCCGCTGCGGCGTCGTTGACTTCACGCTCTGAATGAGTTGAGGTGAAGCAACAGCAGGAACAATAAAGAAAAATGAAAGACAAAAACAAAAACGAAAAGGAGTAGAAGAACGCGGGCGGGGGGGGGGAGTATTCAGCCAATAAGAGGTCGACTTCTCGTCCGTGCAGATCGTTGATTTGTTGAGCGTGTTACTTCGATTTCCAACGCACTCCTTTTTTACGTTTTAAGTTAGCAAACGCGGGAGACAAACTGCCGGGAGAGACAACGGCGCCGACAAAAGACACGGACAGCAAAATATGGATGCTCCCGCTTGTGACGAAGCCCTCCTCCTCTTTTCCGTGCAGTTTTCTTCCGGTTTGGTAGGTAGCTGTGTAGCAACGATGATTCGAGCTGTTAAGCACTGTTGCACCAGACAGCATCGTACATATATACAATATAGTGGGTGTAGGGAGATGAAAGAAGGTGATTATATATATACGAAGAGTGAGATAACAGGAAATGAGAAAAGAGGCGAAAAAAGGAGGAGGAGGGGACGCAAAAATGAAGGGGGAGCGAGAGGTGGGCATCGCTGAGCACACTGTTTGCCCCCGTGGTGGACGGGAAGAAATCATTGCGTGAACAACAAGAGCAGAATAAATGAATCTATACATATGCATGCATTGACTACATATGTTTTCCGACTCCGCGCAGCGTCACGGTACCATCACTTTCTCAGTGCCCTCATCCAACAACACTGTAAGACGACGCGGTGGCTGTGCGGTCTTTCTCGGCTTTCGTTTGGTTTCCGTCTTCGGCTTCACTTCAACGCACGCATCGAACATTCTAACACGAAACCCGCTCTGCAGCGCGGCAGGGCTACGCATCCATGGCCGAACAGAAACGCCGTGGCACAACGCAGCTACACATTAAATACATGCGGGACGCTTGGTCCTCGCCGCGCAGCCCCCCTTCTTCTGCGTTTGTTTTTGCCACGGGAGCTGATACTTTTTTCTTTCTTTTTTTTTTTTTTAGGGGGGGGGGGCGCTATTGCTGTTTGATTGTTTTTTGGTGGTGATGCCGTCACTAATGGAGCGGTACGTAAGTGCGACGACGCGACAACACCCCCAAAAAAAAACACCGACTACATCTCACCCGTGGAGGCGACACAAGGAACAAGGAAACAAAACAACATGAAAGAAGAGTGAAGGCCCGCCGGCTTTGTATCGCAAAGGAGAGGAGGGCAGCGCACACGAAGAACAACGAAATCGCAACGACTTTCCGCCGTGTCTTTCACGACGAAGGTGGAGAAGTGAAAAGAAGGCCGCTTCTTTCCACCTCGCATTTTCTTTTTTTCAGAGGACTGAGAGAAGATCTTCGCGGCGTCACACGGCGAATAAATAGTCGAGTGAGAGATGAAACACCAACGAAAGAAAGCAACGGTGGTCTTCGCAAGTCCCCCCTCTTCCCCACCCCCCTTCTCTCTCTCTCTTCATAGATGCCCCCTTCGCCGGCGATGATGACGACAACCTCATGAAGCACAATTTTTTGGGTTTCGTTTTTATGATCTTCTGCCTCTCTGTCTCCCGCGGGCTTCCTTGCCATAAATCGAAGTGCCGTAGCTTTTTCTGCTGTTCCCCGGTGCGCAGACGACGCAAAGGCAGACACACCCACAAACACACACACACACACACACGTTGAGCTCTTGATAAGGCAAGCAGTAACGCAACGCGAAACCAACCAGCAACCTCTCAAGTGAACACAGCTTCCTCACGCCTTCTACACACGTTGGGAACTTCCCCCCCCCCCCGACCACACACACACACACAC